CCTAGCCAAGGAGAGGAGGAAAACTTGGCCTGAAAGGAACAGAATTTTGGGACATTTACAGCCTGGGGAGGTATCACCCCTCAAAGTGTTGTTGTTTGAGACAGGGTCTCCCTATGGCCCCAGCTGTCCTGGAACTCACTATGTAGACCAGGCTAGCCTTGAACTCACAGAGATCCGCCTGCCTCTGCCTCCCAAGTGCTGGGATTAAAGGCATGCGCCACCACGCCCGGCTTGTTTTTGTCTTTTTAAGAAAGGGTCTCATGTAGTCCAGGCTAGCTTTGAACTCACTATGTAGCCTTGGATAACCTTAAACTCCCGAACCTCCTGCCTTTGTCTCCCAAGTGCTGAGATTACGGTCATGTGCCACCACACTGGGCTTAGGAAGCTGCATTTGAGAGTATGGGGTCCAGGTGAAGACCCCCATCTCCCTGAGAGAAAATGGGCCAGAAAATGGAGAGAGCAGAGGCTATGGCAGGGGAACCCGGACTCCCCCATCTGCTCTATGTGACCCTCGGTAACATGCTGTCCCTTTCTGAGCTCCGTGTCCACCTTTGTGACCAAGCAAGGAAAGCAGAGCCCAGATTTGGCTTCCTATCATTTTTTTCTGTCTTTTTAAGATCTTTCCCTGTAGCCCCAGCTGGCCTGGAACTCATATGTAGACCAGGCTGGCCTTGATCTCAAAGATATCCGATGCCTACCTCTGCCTCTTCTGAGATTAAAGGCCTGCACCACTGCGCCACAGTTTTTTTTTTTTTTTTTTTTTTTTGAGACAGGGTCTCATGTAGTCTCATGTAGCAATGTAGCAAGTTGGCTGGTCTCCAACTTGCTATGTAGCTGAAAGTGACCCTGAATTCCTGATATTTCTGCCTCTGCAGTGCTGAGATGACAGGTGTGTCTACCATACTGACTTTCCCAGGGACTCATATGTCTGTCCTGACATCCTCAGGCTGGGACCTGGATTATGATTCCAGGGTGACAGTGTCAGGCCACCTCCCAGCTGGGCACAGGAAGGGAACAAATCTGATGCTGGGGCCCAAGCTTATGCCTATCTGGGAACCTGGGAGTCGTGCCATATCACCCTGAGAACAAGCCTACTTCTGTCAGTGTGCAGAAAGACCCCTCTCTCTGTAGTCACTGGGCTGTTTCTGCCAGGCAGGTCCTGTGTCATGAGGGGCTTGGGCAAACAGAAGGTGCTTAATCAAAGCAGGTACTTTGTGCACTGTTTCCAAGCAGCAGGGTGGGGGAGGGGCCACCCATACCCATTTCACCTTCTGCTGGGGGCTGGTATTTCCTTCAGGTTGAAGTTCACCCAAGGTCAAGGTGGGGGCCAGAAAGGGAGCAATAGTGGTGGGTCCAGACGTGGAGTCCACACAGTTGTGGACTCAGGCCTATCTTGTCCTCTTTCCCAACCTGCACCCTGGCTGTTCCAGGCCCTGGCTCTTTTTGCTGTATGCTGTCCTGACCTCCCACCCCCAAAGTCCTTCTCCCCACCACAGTCATGAAATCTCAAAACCCTGAGTGGGGCACTGCCTTCTCCTGCTCACACATCTGCCATAGCTGCCTAGTGCCTTGTAGGGCACCCTTGGCTACTTCACTGCCCTCCTCTATCTGTAGCCCTCCCCCATCCCAGCCACACCAGCCTCCCACCTCAGGGCCTTTGCACTGCTCTTTGGTCCACCAGGCAGACTGACCCTATATCTCTACATAGCTGGTGGCATCCTATCCTTAAGACTCCTCCTCAAACAGGTCCTCCTGGACCCTCCATCAAAGCCATTCAGACAGTCACTTGCTTCGGTCTCCCCATATTTTTCTGTTTTTGAGAAGGGGTCTCATGTAGCCCAAGCTGCCCTTGAACTCACTATGTAGGCAAGGCTGGCTTTGATCTCCTTGTTCTTCCAAGTGCTGGTATGACAGGGTGAGCCACTAGACCAAGTTGCCCTTTCCTTTCCTTCAATGCAGACCTCTCCAGGACAGTTCTGTATCTGCTATTACTGCCCATGGGGGAACTGTGTTCTGTCCACCCCTGCCTCTGCATCTCTGACAGAGTGGGGCTGGTGATATCCCACAGGTTGGGTTCCCAGGTGGCTGCATCTTGGGGCCTGTGAGGCTGAGGCCGTGGGCAGAGTCCCTTCCGCCCAGAGCTGACAGATGTGCTAATTTCCCAGGTAGGGAGGCCAGGGCCCTAAGGACCAATTCCCCATGGGAAAGTCTTTCTGTGGAACAAAGAGAGGGACATCTTGGGCTGTCCCTGCAGCCACTTCGGAGGCTCAGGGGACATGGCAGGGGACTTGGGTAGTCCTAGTATGGGACAGCAGGGCCAGGCTTAGAGTGGGGGGCTGAGGGGTGGTCTGTCCCCACTGCTGGAGCAGTGGCCTTGGCCAAACAGATTATCACACTACAAGAGAGGCCTATCAATATTGTGTCCGCTTTGAACTGTGAAGGTTTTCTGGGGAGAGGAGGGGAAGATGTGCGTGTGTGTGCAAGCATACTCACCTGTGCATACTCATGTGGAGACCAGAATGACTTTGGTGCCTTCCTCTACAACTCTCCATATTATTATTATTATTATCACTAAGACAGGGTCTTCCCATAGCCCTGACTGGCCTGGACCGGGGTGGACTCCATCTCAGAGATCCACCTGCCTCTACCTCACAAGTTCTGGGATTAAAGGCATGTGCCACCACACCCTGCCTTCTACCTATATTTTTTTTATTTTTATTTTTTAAAAGTATTTTATTATTTTTATTTTATGTATATGAGTGTATTGCATGCATGTAGGTAAGTACACCCATGTCATGCAATGCCCAAGGAGGACAGAAGAGGCATCGGATCCCCTGGAACTGGATTTACAGACAGTTGTTAGCTGCCATGTGGGTGCTGGAATTTGAACCCGGGTCTTCTGCAAGAACGACCAGTGTTCTTAACCGCTGAGCCATCTCTCCAGCCCCTACCTTATTATTTTTTAAAGATTTTATTTTAAATTATGTGTGTGAGTACAGGTGCCCTTGGAGGCCAGAGGCATCAGATTTCCCCACGAGCTGGATGAAGTTACAGGCAGTTGTGAGTCACCCAACGCAGTGGCAGGGAATTGAACTTGGGTCCTCTGGAAGAGCAAGTGCTCTTAATGGCTGGGCCATCTCTCCAGGCCAAACCTTATTTTTTGAGACAGGGTCTCTGAACTGGAGCTTGTCATTTTGCTTAGGCTGGCCGACGACTGAGTCTTCAGGATCCACCAGACTCTGTGCCTCAGTGCTGGGGTTACAGGCATCCACTACCTGCCAGGCTTTTAAGTGGGGGGATCAAACGGGGGATCAAACTCAGGTCTTCGTGCTTATACAGCAAGCACTGTACCCCCTGAGCCATCTCCCTAGTGCCCATCTTTTCTTTCCTTTTTTTTCTTTTTGAGACAAGGTAGCCCAGGCTGGCCTCAAATATAGTTGAGGGTGACCTTGAACTTCTGATTTTCCTGCCTCTACTTCTTGAGTGCTGGGATGACAGGTGTGTACCATCATACCTGGTTTTATGAGGTTCAGGGATGGAACCTGGGACTTTGTGCATGCTAGGCAAGCAGTCTACCAATTGGATAATAAAGGTCACACACTGGTGGTCCACAGGCTATATGTGGCCTCAAGTTTGTTTTGTGCACTGTGAGGTGCTTAAAAGGAGACCAGGGGCAGGGAATGGAACTCAGCATCACAGGGTTTGCCTAGCACATTCAGGGTCCTGCACATCCACCCCCAGATCACAAAAGCATCCATAACAAATAAACCCCAGCACGAAAGAAAAGTGAATTGGAACTCAGAACTCGCTGGCCCTTCACCCAGTTCTGACCTGTGGCAAGCAGCTACTATGGCTCCTGTCTGTCCTGAGAATTCAGTTCCTGTCTCTCCCCTATGAGCTGGCCAGGGGAGAATCTGAAAGTCCCTGACTGGGCCTTAGTTTCCCCAGAAACACCAGAGGGATCCATGACACAGGGACCCTGGACAGCCTTCCTGAGATTTGAGGACTGAGAAGTATCCTACCCCCTCAGATCTCATGGCACCCCAAACATGGTACTGAGCATCCACCACAGGAAGAAAGGAGGTCCTGGGTCTCAGCAGGGATGGGGTCATCTGCATGTAGGGGTGCTTGTGTGTCAGGGGACCAACAAGGATTTGAAGGCCTGTAATATGTATGGGGGTGAATGCTCTTGGGGGAGGTTTATGTTCCTTTGGAGGATGTGTGAGTATTTGGGGGGCTCCCTGTGTATCTGGAGAGATTTGCTGAGTTTGTAGGGCGTCTGGATGTTGGGTTGCATGCATCTGGAAGATCTATATGTTTTGAGAGTTCTGGGGGTCTCAGTGTGTTTGGGCATTCATGTTTGGAGAGCTGTATGGATTTGGGGTGTCTCTGTGTACTGTGAATTGTTTTTGTTCTTTGAGACAGGCTCTCACTGTAGCCTAGCTTGCTTTAGAATTCACTATGTAGCCAGGTTGGCCTCGAACTCATCCCAGTACTCCTGCCTCAGTTTCCTGAGTGCTGGGATGACAGCTGTGTGTCACCACACCAGGTGAAACCCTATCCTTTGAAGACTTTTGTAGGTGGGGCTCCCCAAGTGTTTTGGGGATCCGTTGTGTTGTATGCACCCATTGACCCAGGCTCAGCAAGTGTTTGGGGGTTTCCAGATGTTGGGGGAGGCTCCCACCCCCTATTCTTTCCACCGGATGAATGTCTTCCTGACTCCCCCAGCCTCCCAACATCCTTGCATGGGACTTCTTGGGGCCCTTATACTGATTTGCCCCCGACATGGGCTGAGGAGAGGTGACCCCCAAAGCCATCTGTAAGGACTCAGCCCCCAAGGCCCTACGGGCGCCCCAAATTGACCTGTTTTTAGTGGATGAAACTGCAGCTGCAGAGGGCCTGTGCAGGGCCCAGAGCTGTGGGGTCTGGTAGGGATATCGAGGCCCCGCCCCAACACCGTGAGGCCCCGCCCACCGCGGAGGGGCGTGCCAGCCCCCAACTTCAGCTGCTGAGAGAAGGGCAGCTGGGGTCGCTCGGAGCGGCTGGTGCCCTCAAGAGAGGGCGGGTGGGGTCCCGGCTTTCCAGGGGGCTCTTCCTGTCGCCGTAATGAGGAGCGCTGGGAGCAGGTGATGAAACGGCGGCCCGGGTTGCGTGAGGCCGCTTGTCCCGCGGGCCTGGCTCCCCACCTGCCTCTCACTTCTGCTTTCCCGGCTCGGCTCGCGCTGAGCCCTGCGTCCTCGTTCAGCCCCGTGGTGCACTGCGGGCGCCAAGCCTCGGCCCAGCGTCCCGAGGTCCAGGGTTGGCTTCTGGATGGGAAAATAGGATCGAAAGCCTGGGGTCAGGCGAGGAGGTGTTTCTCACCTGCTTTCCTTTACGGGTAGGGAAATTGAGGCTTCTATGGGGAGAGAGGTCACTGGATGATGGGATCCCGTCTATTCGCCCTTACCCTTCATTCCCTGGGGGCCCAGAAACCTCACCAAGCTAGGGAGGTAAATCCGTGGATTGTAACATCTTCTGACTGACCATAGATACCACCAGATAGAAGGGGATTTGTGTGTGTGTGTGTGTATGTGTGTCAGGGTCTCATATAGTCCAAGTTGGCCTCAAACTCCTGAACTCCTGAATTCCCAGTGCCTCCACCACTTGAGTACTGGGGATGACTGGTGTGCACCACCATGCCAGTTTATGTCCGCTGGGGATGGAACCCTAGGCTTTGTGTATGCTAGATGTGCATTGACCAAATGAGCTACATCCCCAGACCGAGTTTTATTTCATTAAATATCTTTTTATTATACTTACTTATTTGTCTGGAGAGGGGGCTTATACCATGGTGCACCTGTGGAGGTCACAGGACAACAAAGTTTTCTCCTTCCACCATATAGGACCCAGGATGGATCTCAGTTCATCTGGCTTAGCAGCAAATGCTTTTGCCCAATAAATCGTTTTGTCAACCCCTATTTTTATTTTATTGAGACATGGTTTCACTTTGCAACCCTGGCAGGCCTGAAACTTGCTCTACTATGTAGACCAGCCTGGCCTTGAACTCCCAGAGATCCTCCTGCCTTTGCCTCAGGCCTAAGACCTTGGTTCTTGCTTCAACTCAGACACATGGGTCACCTGTATACCATCCTGGGGTCACCAAAGATCAGCCTTACTGACTGCAGATCCCCCTTCTATCCAGACTCAGAGCTTTCTAGAGGACCTCAGAGCAGCTTCCCCACCTTGTCACTCTGACCTGGATGGACACTGGTTTCCAGGAGCTGCTGGAAGCATTTTCTTTTTCTTTTTCTTTTTCTTTTTTTTTTGGCATTTTTGAGACACGGTCTCCCTGTAGCCCCAGCTGTCCTGGAACTCACTATGTAGACCAGGCTGGCCTCAAAATCACAGAGATCCTCCTGCCTCTGCCTCCCGAGTGCTGGGATTAAAGGCATGCACCACCACGCCCGGCAGCATTTTCATTTTTTAAAAAATTCTCTTCTCTCTCTCTCTCTCTCTCTCTCTCTCTCTCTCTCTCGCCCAGGTAGCCAAGGATGACCTTGAACTTCTGATCCTCTTCCCTCCACCTCCCCAGTGCTGTTATGACAGGTGTGTGCCACCCATTCCAGTTTATGGGGTTCTATGGGATTGAACCCAAGGCTTTGTACATGCAGGCACTCTACCAACTGAACCACGGTCCCAGCCTCTGTATTTTTGTTTTATCATCGTTTTGTGTGAGCATGTTTATGTTGCAGTTGCAGTGGCGTGTGCGTAGAGGTCGGAGTGGTTCCCACCTTCAGGTGGGAACCAGGGATGGAACTCAGGTCTTCAGTCTTTTTTCAGCAAGCCACAACACCTTTACCCCTGAGCCATCTAGCCCACCCGATAGAAGGGAGGGGTTTTCTTTCTTTTTCCTGTTTTCAAAAAAATATTTTTGTTTAGTCGGGCGTGGTGGCGCACGCCTTTAGTCCCAGCACTTGGAAGGCAGAGTCAGGCGGATCTCTGTGAGTTCGAGGCCAACTTAGCCTACATAGTGAGTTCCAGGCCAGCTGGGGCTACAGGGAGACTCTGCCTCCAAAAACAAAAGACCTCCAAAATTTTATTGATTTGTGAATTTCACACAATATATTTTGATCATATTCAGACCCTCTCCCCATCTCTACCCACTCCTTAATCCCCCCAGGATTTCAGGTCCTCTACTATTATTTATTTTTGTTTTTGTTTATCTATTTTTAAATATTTTATTATTTGGGGGTTTTGGGGGGTTTTTGGTATTTTGTTTTTTTTTTTTTTTGAGACAGGGTCACCCTGTAGCCACAGTTGAACTGGAACTCACTATGTCACTGTTTAGACCAGGGTGACCTCAAACTCACAGAGATCCACCTGCCTCTGCCTCCCAAATTCTGGGATTAAAGGCATGCACCACCACGCCCGGCCCCATATTTTTATTTTATGTGTATAAGTGTGCCTGCATGTAAGTGCACCCATGTCATGTAATGCTCTTGGAGGTCAGAAGAGGATGCCGGATTCCCCTGAAACTGGAATTACTGATGGGTGTTAGCCGCTGCCATGTGGGTGCTGGGAATCCAACCTGGGTCCTCTGCAAGAGCAGCTAGTGCTCTTAACCTCTGAGCCATCTCTCCAACCCCCTCATTTATTTATTGGCTTTTTTTTTTATCTTTTTGAGACAAGGTCTCCCTGTAGCCCCAGCTGGCCTAGAATTTACTATGTAGACCAGGCTAGCCTTGATCTCACAAAGATCCACCTGCCTCTGCCTCCCGAGTATTGGGATTAAAGGCCTAGGCCACCACGCCAAGCCTGTCTTCTATTATTATGTCTTTCCTTTTCTTTCTTTCTTTTTTTTTCTTTTTCTTTTTTTTTTTTTTTTTTAAGGCTTATCGAGTCTTATCTGTATTTCCCAAGTGCTCTTGGGTATGGATCTATCCCTTGGAGTCTGGTCAACCTATCAGGTATCACACCAGTAAAGAAAACTGACTCTCTCTCCCCCAGCATCTGTCAGTTGCCAATAGATCCTCAGCTAGGATTAGGACTCCCTGCCTACCTCCCCATCCATGCTGGGCCCCTGTCTGGCTTGGGTCTGCACAGGTCTTGTGTATACTGTGATAAGTGCTGTGGGTTCATATGTGCAACTACCCTGTGTCCAAACAATACAGTTTCCTTGTATTCATTCACCACCTCTGGCTCTTACAATCTTTCTGCCCCCTCTTTAGCAATGATCCTTGAGCCTTGGGAAGAGAAGATGTGATACAGGTGTCCCATTTAGAGCTGAGCACTCCGAAATATTATTCTCTCCACGTTGAGCAGTTGTGAGTGTAAATGTTAATTGCCGTCTGCTGCTGTTTCTCTGGGGAGAGCTGAGAGCTGCGCTCATCTGTGTGTAGAACTTTTGTTTGTTGAAACAGGAAGATAGGGTCTCATGTAGCCCAGCCTGGTCTCCAACTACTTACATAGCTAAAGATGACCTTGAACTCCTGACCTTCCTGCCTCCACTTCCCCAGTGCTGGGATGACAAACCTGCATCGCTGGACCCAGCTGAGCACTCTGCTTCCTAGCTGGACACGCGGGGTTCCTGGTGCAGAAGGTGCTTCCCCAGCCCTCAGCTTTCCCTCATGCCTGGCACATTTAGCGTGGGCCGGCCCCTCCTCCCCACACTCTGATCACCCTGACATCTGGAGGGGCGCTGGGGTCTGTCTGCGGCTCGGGTGCTAATTTGCATGGGAGTACAAATAGGTCTGTGCAGCCGGGGCTGCCGCCTCCGCTCCTCCTCCGCCCTTCACACCTGGGCCACACTGGTCATCAGGCCCGTGCTGAAAGTGGGAATTTGCATGTGTATTTCTGGGCAGAGTGTCGGCTGGGGAAGTCTAAGAGGAAGTGTGGAGGGAAGCTGGGCTGGGAGCCTCAGTCACAGCTCTCTTTTTGTGCCAGGGGTCAACTCGGAATATCTTCCACAATCACGCTCCACTTTTTTTGAGACAAGGTCTCACTATATTCCGCTGCTGGCCTGGATTCTCTGTGTAGACCAGGCTGACTTCCAACTCAGGGAGATCCTGCTGGGATTACAGAGATGTACTGCTGCATCTGGGTTTTGCATGGGTGCTGGGAGTTGGTACTCAGGTCCTTGTGCTTGGTCAGTTTCCACTTACATGGACAGAACCCTGGCCTCCTTTCTATCCACAGCCCTCTGTACCCTCCTTCTCCCCACGGGAGAATTTGAAAATGATAAACCAAGAAATCAGATGTGGTGGCACAGGCCTGTTATCCCAGCACTCAGGAGCCTGAGGCAGGAGGATTACATGTTCAAGCTATCCTGGGCTACATGAGTAGGTCTCAAAAATAAATAACTGGGTGTGGTGGCACATGCCTTAAATCTCTGTGAGTTCAAGGCCAGCCTGGTCTACATAGCCAGTTCCAGGCCAGCCGGGGCTTCATAGCAAGACAGCGTCTTAAAGGAAAGGAGGGAGAGAGAGAGAGAGAGAGAGAGAGAGAGAGATACTAGGGGTGGTTAGATTGGTTAGATGCTGAGTGGATAAAGGTGCTTGTTGCCAAACCTGATGACTTTTCAATCCCTGGGACCCACATGGTAGAAGGAGAGAATCAACTCCCAGATTGTCCTCTGACCACACACACACAGTGGCAAGCATGCCTCCACCATACATAAAGTAACAAATTTTTAATTGAATGAATTAAACTTTATCACAAAAAACTAAATAAAATAATAAATCAAGCTAGGCATGGCTAGAGCTGTAGCTTAGTTAATAGAGTGCTTGTAGCTCATTTGGTAGAGTGCTTGCCGAGCATGCATGAAGCCCTGCTTCTATCCCCAGCAGTGCGTAAATCAGGCGTGGTGGATAGGCTCGTAATCCCAGCACTTGGGAAGTGAAGACAGGAAGATCAGGAGTTCAAGGGCATCCTCGGCTACATATGTTGGAGGTCAGCCTAGGCTACATAAGACCCTGTCTGAAACCAAAATATGAAATGAATAAAATTATAAAAGAGCCGGGCATGGTGGTGCATGCCTTTAATCCCAGCACTTGGGAGGCAGAGGCAGTAGGATCCTCTGTGGGTTTGAGGCCAGCCTGGTCTACAGAGTGAGTTCTAGGCAGCAGGAGCTACATGGAGACCCTGTCTCAAAAAGCCAAAGAAAGAAACCTATCTCTCCACAAAACCCTGTCTTTGTCCTCAGTAACAGACCAAAATCCCCTGGCCTCCCTACATGCACACTGTCCAGCCTCCTTCCTATCCCAGGACCCTCAAATCTGCTGTTGCTTCTGCCTAGAACTCACTTCCTGTCTCTGTCCTCAGGTCTCAGTTCAGAGAGACCACCCCCTTCCCTGCTGTCTGTACCTCCTTCCTGCCAATCACCTAGCCCTTTGTCAGATGTCAAAGGCAGAGGCACAGTCTTCCAGACTCAAGTGACTCAGGACCAGACCCAGCCTGGGCCTCCCTCTCACGGGACCCAGGATGTGGGGACATTTCCGGAGTCATCTTGGCTTGAGGACCTTCAGTTCAGTGCCGCTCTTGAGCCTCCAGGGACCTGACAGGGTTGGGGCAACACATCCCAGCCGTGGGAAAGGCCTGATTCTGGCTGGAGGTTAAAATTAGCCGGGAGGTTAAATTTAGCAAGAGAAGCTGGCGCTGGGGGCCACTGGGTCTGCATTATGGATTTGACTCAGAGACTCAGCTTAGAGAGGGTGCAGGCCAGATCCAGGGACACACAAGCAGCCCACCTACACCAGGTGAGGTGTTTCAACCCACTTGATAGTCAGGAACCCTGGAATGATGGGGGCCACAGCCAGGCCACTTGAGTTGCAGACTGAGAAGGAGCTGTGGCCAGATCAGCAGATCTCAATTTCTTTTTCTTGTTTTTGGAGCAGAAACAGTGTCTTCTGTAGTTCAGGCTAGCCTCAGATTCAATATATAGGTGAAACTGGCCTTGAACTCCTGATCCTCCTGCCTGCATTTCCCCAGGGCTGAAATGACAGATGCACACCACCATACTTGGTGAAGCAACCTCTTCCTCCCCCTCCTCCTCCTCCTCCTCCTCCTTCTCTTCCTCCTCCCAGGGCAGTCGAGAGGCAGACATGCCGCGGCTAGCGCGCCGCACAAAAGGTGCTTAGACTAGAGACACAAAATGTCAAGCTCAAAGTGATCTTATCTATGATTTTACAAAGTCAATACTAACATTGACAGACATATTTTTAAAAGGTACCTAATATTCTCTGTGTACTGGCCAGGAATAGAGGTAGGGCAGGAAGAAACACCTACCTGCTTGCATGAATCTTTCTTGAAATTATCCCCAGATAGTTGTTCTGGGGTCCTCATCCTCCTCCTCCTCCTCCTCCTCTTCCTCCCCCCCTCTTCCTCCTCCTCCTCCTCCTCTTCCTCCTTTCTTTTTTTGAGACACAGTCCCACTATATAACCCTGACTGGCCTAGAACTCCAAGAATCCTCCTGCCTCCTGAGTGCTGTTTTTGTTTTGTTGAGACCAGGTCTGGTCTGGAACTGTCAGCAGTCCTCCTGCCTAAGCTTCTGAGTGCTTAGATCATAGGCACTTTCCACACCCAGCTTCTAGCTCTGATGTTATTAGTAGCTCACTGCCTGTCTAGGGTGGCCCTGGGCATTCGATGTCTACCTGTGTGTCTGTCACCACCTGCCTCTCAGGACAGTAGGCATGGGCTGGGAAAGAGGCGTCCCCTGCTGGGAGCTGTATGAGGCCTCTGTGACCTTGAGCTGACCATTGGTCAGAAACCTTAGCCACTTTGGGACACATGAGGTTGTGTGGCCCTCGAGTCTGTAGAGGGGACTGTCCCTGAGAGGCTCAGGGCCTCTGTGGCTGTCTGGTCTGCAGGTGCCGATTCCCTGTGGGCAACAGATGTCTTTGTACCACCAAAGAGTCCTGGGGCCACCTGAACTGCAACATGCTGACCAGACTCTGCTACAAAGCAAGTTTGAGGTTAGCCTGGACTACAGGAGACCCTATATCTTCACAAAAGAAGGAATGAAGGAGGGAGAGAGAAAAAAAGTTCAGATCATCCTCTCTAGTGTCTTAATCCAGGCTTTGATGCAAGATGTAGACCAGGGCAGTCAGTGGCCCAGCGCTGACTTCTCTTTTTTCTTTTCTCTTTCATTCTTCTGTGTGGGTACACTTACCTCTGTGAAAGCCAGAGATTGATGCTGGGCACCTTCCTCTATCACTTCCCACCATGTGCTTGTGTGCATGTGTGTGTGTGTGTACAGAGGCCAGAGGACATCAGGTCCTGCTCCATCACTCTCCACCATATTCTCTTGAGACAAGGTCTCCCTAATGCTCGTGCAGCAAGCACTCTCACCCACTAAGTCATCTCCCTAGACCCAACTTTATTATTTTGAGACAGCATCTCTCACTAAACTTGGAATTGATTTGGCTAGACTGGCTGACAATGGCGCCCCCAGGATCTGCCTGTCCCCACCTCTCCAGTACTGGGAATTACAGACTTATGCACCTACTCCTGGCTTTCCTATGGGTACTGGAGAGTCAAACTCAGGTCCTCATGCTTGGACAACAAACACTTTACCCATTGGGCCATCTCCCTAGCCTCTCCCCATTTTTTTGAGACACAGTGTAGCCCAGGCTAGTCTAGGACTCCTAGACTCCTGCCAAATCCACCAAACACTGGCATCACAGCTGAACCACTTCATGTTCAGCTCAGGATTTTTTTTTTAATGTTTTGAGTTTTGTTTCTTCTTTCATTTGGTTTTGGTTTTTGTGTTTTTGAGACAGTGTCTCTCTGTAGCCACAACTGGCCTGGAATGCTCTATGTAGATCAGGCTGGCCTGGATCCAGAGATTGGTCTGCCAAAGCCTGTGCTTGGAACTTTCAGAAGTTCTGCCATCAGGACCCAAGATTGCCTTGAGGGAGATCAGGGGCTTCGCCACATCCCTGTGCCGACCTTTTGGGGACATCCTCAGGCCTGCCAGTCCAAAGCAAACAGGGGTGAGGTTTCTATGATTCTACGTACTAGGCTTTGGCTTCAACTTCTAGCAACAAAAACACATTGGAAAGTTTTTCTTCAGGCGCACATGGTGGTACACACTGTATACCAGCACTCTGCAGGCTGAGAAATTTCAAACTCTTGACCAGCCTGGGCTACTTAGCAAGACTGTCTCAGAGCACCCTCCACCTCCTCCCTGTCACATAATGAATGTGGGCAGACCTCATTCTGCATGTTTGTGGTCCCATGTATGGAAATGCCCAGAACAGGGACCTTCATAGAGACAGGAAGCAGAGTTGAGGGAGTGGGGAAAAGGGCTTCTTTGTTGACCATGGACTGTTCTGGAATTAGATTAAAATAATGATCACATATTATAGTGAAAATATGCTAAATGTCATTTAATCGTGCACTTTAACGTGATTAATTTTATGCGAAATTAACCCCATTTGAAAAGGGGGCAGGCTGGGCGTGGTAGCACATTACTTTAATCCCAGCACTGGGGAGGCAGAGGCAGGTGAATCTCTGTTAGTTCCAGAGTGAGTTCCAGGCCAGCTGGGGCTACAGGAAGACCCTGTCTCAAAAAGACCAAAAATAAAGGGGCAGGGAGTTGGCAGCACCTTTAATCCTAGCACTTGGGGAAGTAGAAGCAGGCAGATCTCTGTGAGATCAAGGCCAGCCTGGTCTACATAGCAAGTTCCCAGTCAGCCAGGGCTGCATAGTGAAATCCTATCTCAAAAAGATGAAATAGGGGACTGAAGAGATGGCTCAGCAGTTAAAAACACTGACTGATCTTGCAGAGGACCCAGATTCTGTTCCCAGCACCTACATGGTGGCTAACAACCATCCATAATTACAGTTCCAGGGGATCAGACATCCTCTTCTGATCTCCTTGGGCACTGTACAACACAGGTGCACTTACATACATGCAGACAATACACTCATAAATATAAAATAAAAAATAATAAGATAATAGCTGGGCGTGGTGGCGAATGCCTTTAATCCCAGCACTTGGGAGGCAGAAGCAGGCGGATCTCTGTGAGTTCAAGGTCAGCCTGGTCTACATAGTGAGTTCCAGGACAGCTGGGGCTACAGGGAGACCCTGTCTCAAAAAGACCAATAAATAAATAAGATAATAATAATTATTAATAATAAAGAGCCAGCAGGATGGCATAGTAAGTAAAGACACTTGCTGCCAAGGCTCACAACCTGTGTTTGAGGCACAGGCTTCACATGATGGAAGGAGAGAACTGACTCCTGCAAGCTGTCTTCTGACTCCATGCGTGCCAATGTGTACACACACAAATAAACACATATTAAAAGTGGAAAAAAAAACCCTCATGATCTTGTATCAACACGGGCAACTATCCTGAGCACATCCTTCTAGTCTTTTCCGTTCTCCAGGCAATCTCATTTTGAGTAAGGGTCTTGTATGGTCTAAAGCTGTCCTATGTCTACATCTCCCTATGTAGCTCAGGCTAGACTGGACACAATCCTCTGTCTCAGCCTCCTGAGTGCAGGGATGATGGCCATGCACCAGACCTCAGGATGGTGCAGTCAGGAGCTGTGGGGATGAAGTCCACCTTCTTTCTCCCGGTCATCCTGCCCACCTCAGGGGCCTGCAGGTGGGAGGAAGGCTGGGCTCTCCGTTCCAGATTCCACACTCTCAGTCTGTGATCTCTACAGAGCCACTCTGCCCAGCCAGGTGCCATGGGGAGGAAAAAAATCCAGATCTCACGAATTCTAGATCAACGGAATCGGCAGGTGAGATTTCAGGATGGAATTGGGGGGGGGGGGGATATTCCCGGTGGGGTGGGGGCCAGAGAGAAGAGCACACCCCAAAGCGAGGAATCCCTTGGGAAAACCCTCCTTTAACACCCTCTCCCCCAACTGTCCGCAGGTGACTTTCACCAAGCGCAAGTTCGGGCTGATGAAGAAGGCCTACGAGCTGAGCGTGTTGTGCGACTGCGAGATCGCGCTCATCATTTTCAACAGCGCGCAGCGCCTCTTCCAGTACGCCAGCAGTGACATGGACCGCGTGCTGCTCAAATACACCGAGTACAGCGAACCGCACGAGAGTCGCACCAACGCCGACATCCTGCAGGTACCCTAGCCACCTGCAACCCGGCCATCCCGTCCCCGCTGTGGGACCCAGGCGGGCTCTGGGCCTCTTGGGTCGCCTCTGACACGGTGGGAACGCTCCTAGGGAACTCACCTAGGGTTCGGGTTCGCGTTCGGTTGCAGCAGGCCACACCCTCCTTGTGTCCCTCTCAGCCGGCTGGGGAAGGGCCCCCATCCCTGGTGCCCTAGAATTGGGTTCCAAGGCCGGGTAAGGGCAGAGGGCCCACCCTGTCATCTGTGGTCCCCACAGACACTGAAAAGGAGGGGCGTGGGCCTGGATGGGTCGGAGCTGGAGGTGGACGAGGGGCCGGGAGAGAAGCTGCTGAGGAGGCTGGGAGCAGACCGAGGAGGCCCGGCCTCGCCCCTGCCTCTGCCTCGGATCTGTGTAAGAGACTCCCCTGTTCCTTCCCAGAATCCCTCTTCCATTCTAGAGTTTGAGACTTGGGGCTCAGAGAGGGCGGGTCAGGCAGCCAAGAGGGTGGTGGTCCATGCCTCCCTGGGTGGGGAAAGGGTCCCTGATGATGGGCATTATGATCCGGGCTTTGAAGGACGTGTAAGAGAGCAACAAGTAAGCAGGTCCTCCTGCCATAATTTCCCGGATGATCTGCCACCCCAGGCCGGTCTCAGCGTGGGCTCTGCTCCCTGACTCCCCAGGCCCATGGGTCTAAGCCTGAGCTGGGACGGACCCTCGGGACCTCTCTGGGGCCCCTCTGCCCCATTCTCCCGCCTCTTGGTCCACAGTCAGTGGCCCCAGCAATGCCCATCCAGGAGCCAGCATATCGGGTCCCTCCTGCTTCACCCGGCTGCGACCCTGGCGGGCTCAGGGAACCCACGACTGCCCACAACCGCCCGTCCCCCTTTCGGCCAGCAGCGCCCAGAGCGGGGCCCCCGGGTGAGCGTGGGGGGGTGGACCAGGATGGGGAGGGGTCCTAGGGAGAGGAAGGGTCCCAAGGAGGGGAGGGGAAGAGATCTCAACAGGGAGGGGTGTCAGGGTGTGGAGAGGTCTCAGGACAAGAGGGGCGCCAGAGTGGGAAAGGTCCCAGGGTGGGGAGGAGATGGTCCTGGAACCTTAGGCATCGCTGGGTGACAAAGATGTCTCTCTCTCTTTCTCTCTCTCTCTGGGTAACCCCCCCCCGCAGGCCTTGGACACCCTGTCTTCCCCTCGAGTCACCTGGCAGGCAAGACGCCCCCACCCCTGTACCTGGCAGGAGATGGGCGGAGGCCCGATCTGCCTGGGGGCCTGGTGGGGGCCCGAGGGGGACTGGGCGCCTCTGTGAGTGCTAAGGATGGATGGAGGAGGGTTGGGAGGATGAAGAAGAGAGAAGGGAGGAGGGAGAGAGAGGGAGGAAGGAGTCTGGTAGGAGGAGGGAGAAAGGAGACTGGTGGTGGGCTCCCAGCCTTATCATCCCCCGCCTCACTTCTTGTCCCTTCCCAGAGGAGCCTGTATAGTGGCCTGCAGAGCCCCGGGGCCCAGAGCCCCCCTCTGGGGAACTTAGCTTTCCTGCCTGCTGGCCCCTCAGGTGAGTCTGCCCTGTCCAACTTGCCTGCTCATAGGGTCCCTCACCCAACCCAATAGCCCTGGCCAGTTGGCGGGGTTGTCAGGACCCCACTACTGTGTCCACAGAGTTCAGCCCAGGAGACGCTGCACCGCCCCCGCTGCAGCCTGTACCCTGGCCGCCGTCGAGGGACGCGGCTGCCCCTACCAGACCCGGGTGAGTCAGCACCTCCTGAAAGCTGGTAACCAAAGAGGGGCGCCTCACCCCAAGGATCCCCGACGGCCTCCAGGCTGTCTTCTCTACCTTTGGCTTATCTCTCTTTCCCCTTTCCCCTCTTCCCCCTCCCCTCCTCCTCCTTCATCTTCTCTTCCTCCCTCCCTCCCCCCTCCCTCCTTCCTCCTTCCTTCCTCCCCCCCTCTCGTCTCTCTCTCTCTCTCCCCCCCTCCTCTCTCTCACCTTCCCCTTCCCTCCCTTCCCTGCAGGGGTGCCCGCAGCCTGTGTGAGGATGGTCTCCCCAGCCGCGTGACCTCACCTCCGCCGCCCCCAATCAGCATCAAGTCTGAGCGCCTGTCTCCCGGCCCCGGGGCCCCCGGAGATTTCCCGCGGCCCTTCGCGTACCCGCTGCTTCTTGCCCGGCCCCTGGCGGAGCCGCTGCGGCCCGCAGCTTCCCTGCGGCGTCTGCCTCCCGACGGCTGGCCGCGGTAGCGCCCGGGACACCCCCATCCCGGCCTCGGCGGAGAAGATCCCGGGGTCTCGGGTCCCCTGTGCGGCCTGGAGGGCGCGGGCGCCCAACACACATCGCCCGTGGGGTCCGGTTCCTCTCCTGGTCAATAAATAAAAGCCCGCGGCTCAGCGCCTGCGCAACCCAAATCTGTGCGCCCGGGCTCCCCAGGTTCCTGCTCTAGTTGGGGATGAGGGTATCGCAGACCCGGATTCCGAGAGGAGGAGGGTCGGGTGGAGGGAGGGTGGGGAGCCTAGAGGAGTCCTCCCTTGGAGGTGTGCGACTGGGATGAATCTACCGGCCATCGCTCACCGGGCCGTGGGGTGCCTATTGGTGATGAGTTCAGGGGTATTCTCTGCTATAGAGTTCTAGACCAGCCTGGGTTAGGACAATGTTTCAAAAGGGAAAAAGGGACCCGTCATGGTGGCACACACCTTTCATCCCAGCACTCGGAGACAGAGGCAGGCAGATCTCTGGGAGATTCGGGTCAGCCTGGTCTACATAGGGAGTTCCAAGCCAGCTGGGGCTATAGGGAAACCATTTTCTTTCTCTTTCTTTCTTTCCGGACAGGGTCTTCCTGTAGCCCCAGCTGGTCTGGAACTGCTATGTAGACCAGGCTGGCTTCAAACTCACAGTGATCCACCTGCCTCTGCCTCCCAAGTGCTGGGATTAAAGGCCTGCACCACCACACCCAGCTGGGAAAACATTTCTTAAACAAACAAACAACAACAACAACAAAAGGAGTAAGATAGTTGGGGGTGGGGAAGGTGGTTGCCCCCTCAAACCTGACAACCTGAATTTGATCCCTGGGACCCACATTGTGGAAGGGAATAGAGAACTACTGCAAGTTGTCCTTTGACCTCCATATTTGTGTACACACACACACACACACACACACTCACAAAACAAATAGGGGTGGGGGCAACTACTTGCTGTGCAAGCATGAGGATATGAATTCAAATCCCCAGCACCCATGTAAAAAGCCAGGTGTGCTTGTAACCCTGGTGCTATGGAAGGGAGGTGGGGACAGAAGGAGCGCTGGGGTTCAGCTACCATCCCAGCTCCAGGTTCAATGACAGACCCTGCAGGACAGGACAACTGACACCCTTCTCTGGCTTCTGCTCCAGGCACACTCCTATACACACAAAATATGTAAAAGCAATTAAAAGGGAAGGAAAAATCGGTCTCAGTTGGCAAGCCTGGGCTCTGGTGCTGCCCCCTTCTGCCTTCAAATGTGTCCTGGACTAAGGTGATGGCTGGGAGGTTAAGAGTACTTGATACAAAATCATGGTACTGGAGTTCAGATCACTGTACTGATTAATAAGCCCCTCTGGGGCGGCTCCAGAGACATCCTCAGCTCCAACCTTGGGCCTGGAGGGGTTGGGACGGTTTCTAAGACATAAATAAGGCTGAGGAAATGGCTCAGTGGGCAAAGCACCTGCAGTGCAAGCCTGAGGACCCGATTCGAGTCCAGACCCACGTGAAAAGCCATGCGTGGTGGTCATGTGTGTAATCCCAGCGCTGGGAAATCAGAGACAGGAGGATCCATCAGGCTCGATGCCCACCATAGCCTAATAGGCGAGCTCCAGGTGCCAGTACAAGCCCTGTCTCAAAAACATAAGGTGAATGGGGCCCGCAAGATGGGTCAGTTAAGTGAAGGTGCTTGTCGCCAAGCTTGATGACTTGAGTTGCATCCCTGGGTCAGGATGGAAGGAGAGAACTGTCCTTTGACCTGCACGCACATACACAAACAAATAAATGTAAAAATATGGTGTACAAACCCCGAGGAACGACACCCGGAATTGGACCTCTGGCCTGCCCACACATTCACGCAACTGTGCACCTAACACACACTCGTGGGGGGGGATGGGGGGGACACGACACGGGACACGACAGCAATAGGGGAGAATGTACCTAAGTCCCTGAGGCTTACCTGGATGATGCGCCCCAGATACCACCCAGCACCCCAAAATAAAACCAGAAGCTAAATAATTATGCTAGCTTCTTTTATTTTTTTACTTTTTTTTTTTTTTTTTTAGTCTTTTTGAGACAGGGTCTCCCTGTAACCCCAGCTGTCCTGGAACTCACTATGTAGACCAGGCTGGCCTTGAACTCACAGAGATCTGCCTGCCTCTGCCTCCCAAGTGCTGGGATTAAAGGCGTGTGCCACCGTGCCCAGCTGCTAGCTTCTTTTAAAAAGATATTTTATTTAATGTGTATGAATGTATTGCTTGTATGTATATAAATGCACGCTGGTCATGCAATGTTCATGGAGGTCAGAAGATGGCATTGAATTCCCTGAACTGGAGTTAGAGACTGTTGTTAGCCACCATGTAGGTGCTGGGATTCAAACCCTGGTCCTCTGTAAGAGCCACTAGTGCTCTTGACCATAGAGCCATCCCTTCAGTCCCTATGCTAGCTTCTAAGTTCAACACTGGACTGGATATGATATGCCTGTCACTGGGTGCTCCACTAAGCCTGCTGTGGTCCCTGTCCAGCTGTCACTCCTGAACCCCATCCCTCCCCCTCTCCCATCCCCTGTCCTCTCTCCCCGTTTCTTCCCTCCCCTCTGCTTCCCTTGCTTCCTTCCCGTCTTTTCCTGTACCTTTTCCTCCTCTCCCTCCTCCCTCCTCTCCCTCCCTCCCTCCCCCCTCTCCCTCCCTCCTTCCTCTCCCTCCGTCCCTCCCTCCCCACTTTCTCATCTTAGTTTCTTTGACTGCTCTTGAGGTTTCTATAGCCAGCTTGGCTTCCCAGTAGTCACAATGATCCTCCTGCCTCAGCGTCCTAAGTGCTGGAATTACTGTCTTGAACTACCTTATACAGCTCTTAAAATGATTGGGGAGGGGGTGCTGAAGAGGTGGCTCAGCGGTTAAGAGCACTGGCTGCTCTTGCAGAAGACCAAGATTGGAGTCCCGGAACCCACATGGCAGCTAACAACTATCTGTAGCTCCAGTCCAAGGGATTTGATGCCCTCTTCTGACCTCCTCGGGCATTGCATGACACGGGTGTACTTACCTACACGTAGGTAATACATGCATACACATTAAATAAAAATAAATAAATCAAAAAATTGAAGAAAAAAATTTTAATGATTTTTTGGGAGCAGAAATGCTGAGGACTGAGCCCAGTACCCTGGTGGATTCTGAACCCGCAGTCTCTTACACACCTTGGCTCCAACCTCTCTTGTCTCCCAACTTGGCACTCTTGACTGTTCCCTCCTCTGACCTTTCTCCATAATCCCAGCTCCCTGCACCCCTCCTTCCTGAGCAGGCTGTTATTGTCTAGTGAGCCTCCCCCAAAGTGTGAACTAGAAATGTACTATTGGGACAGGGTAGAGGTAGACAGGATCTCATGTAGCCCAGGCTGGCCTTAAACTTGCTATATAGCAGAGAATGGCCTTGAAATCCTGCTCCTTTTGCCTCCACCCAGGTACTTGGATGACAGGTGTGTGCCATTACATGCGGCTGGAAGGTGAGAGCGCTGTGACGGGAGAGGAAGGAATCACCAGCTTACTCTCCTCTTACCTTTCCATTCCTACCTTGTTTATGTGGCATTGGGGATCGAACCCAGTGTCTCATGCATGCTAGCCAAGCATCTACCAGCTGAGCCACATTCTCAACACCACATAAACCAGGCATACAGTAATTGATGCAAACCTACTGTGCTGGACAGCTTTAGTGTCAACTTGACACACCTGGGTTGAGGGAGCCTCAATTGGGGACTTGCCTCCATAGGACTGGCCTGTGGCCATGTCCATGGGGCACCTTCTTGATTGCTGAGTGATGTGGGAGGGCCCAGCCCACTGTGGGTGGTGCCACCCCTGGGCAGGTGGGCCTGTGTTGCATAAGAAAGCAGGCTGAGCAGGGGTCAGGGGATCAAGCCAGTAAGCAGCATTTCTCCATGGCCTGTGCTCCAACTCCTACCTCCAGGTTCCTGCCCTGAGTTCCTACCTTGGGCTCCCGGATGAACTGTGACCTGGGATATGTAAGCTAAATAAACCCTTTCCTCCCCAAGTTGGTAGTAGTCAGAGTGTTTTGCCACAGCAATGGAGAAACAAACTAGGACAACTGCCATACCAAAATCTGGGAGATAGAGGAAGAAGGATCAGAAATTCAAGGTCATCCTCAGTTGCAGAACAAGTTTGAGGCCAGTCTGGATTATATGAGACTGTCTCAAAAACTAACAGGGTCTACAAGATGGCTTAGCAGGTAAAGGTGCTTCCCACCTAAGCCTGATGGACCAGAGTTCAATCCCTGGATCCACACAGTGGAAGGAGAGAACTAACTCCTGCAAGTTGTCCTCTGACCTCCACACTCATGCCCATACACAAATAAATGCAGAATAATAACAAAACAGCCAGGCATGGGGGTGCACACCTTTCATCCCAGCACTTGGGAGGCAGAGGTAGGTGGATCTCTGTGAGATACAGGTCAGCCTGGTCTACATAGTCAGTTCCTAGCCTGTCAAAAAAAAAGAAAAAAAAAAAAAGAGAATGCTCAGTGGTTAAGAGCACTGACTGCTCTTGCAGAGGGCCTGGGTGTGAATCCCAGCACCCACATGGCAGCTAACAACCATAACTGCAGTTCCAGGGAATCTGACAGCCTGCTGTCCTCCGTGGGCATTGCACGACACGGGTGCACTTACCTACATGCAGGCAATACACCCATACACATAAAATTATAAATAAAAATGTTTTTAAAAATAAAATTTTTTGGTCTTTTTGAGACAGGGTCTCCCTGTAGCCCAGCTGACCTGGAACTCTCTATGTAGATCAGGTAGCCTCGAACTCACAGAGATCTGCCTGCCTCTGCTGGGATTAGAGGTGTGCGCCACCATGCCTGGCTACATAAATAAAATATTTTTAAAAAGAACAGAAAGCAGGCAAGAAAAGAACGGAAGAAGGAACGAAGGAGAGAAAGAGAAGACAGGAAAAGAAAAGCTCATCTGCCTGTAAGGACTACAACTTCCGGCATGCAACCTGCTATGGCCGGTGTCCCCTTGCAGTCCTCAGCCGGTCGATCGGTTGTCTCGGCTTCTCGTCACACTGTATCCTGGCTCTGATTAGTCGAAGTTTCTGGGCGTTCCCCTCCTGCAGCCGGGTGTGCGGTGTGCTACCGGCGCCGACATGGTGAGCAAGAGCTGGGCCTGCGCGGCTGCGTCCCTCCGCGGACGGCCGGAGATGTGTCTGCGTCTGGCCCGAGCCGAGAGAGGGATAAGGGATGGGGGCGGGGGGGGGACCTCCAAAGGCTGAAGGACTGGTGGGGGACTGGAGGTGGGTGCCCTTCCAGGCTGGTGTGCAGGAGGGCTCTGGGGATGAACTGAAGCCTGGATTGCAACAGGCTTTTTCTGACAGGCCTCATGTAGCCCAGGGTGGGCCATGAACTCCTGAAGTAGCTGAGGATGATCTTGAGCAGCTCTTGATCTTCCTGCCTCCACCTCCCAAGTGCTGGGTTGACATTCATGCCCAGATTTCATTTTTTAATGAGAGCAGCTCACCCTGTAGCCCAGGTTAGCTACATTTGCAGCAATCTTGTCTTAGCTCCTAAATGCTGGGATGAATGACAGGTGCTCCCCACTGTACTCCAGCCTGCTCCTCAGCAAGCTGCTGACTGGAGGTGGGATGATGACACTGTGATCTGCCAATGAATGGTCCCCAACCGTGGTGTGTCGAGGTCTGTACCTTTGTACTGGGGTCATGCTGGCCTGAACCAGTGATTTCAATTACAACACCCAGTGTTCATAGTACAAGCCTGTCAGTAGCATGGTGTGTCGAGGTCTGTACCTTTGTACAGTGATTTCAATTACAACACCCAGTGTTCATAGTACAAGCCTGTCAGTAGCACTGCTGGGTTTCCAGACCAGTCAGGTCAGAGCCTGTGTCAAAAACAACCAATCCACTGGGCATGGTGGCACAGACTTGTCAGCCCAGCACTCTAGAGGCAAGAGGGTCAAAAGTTCAAGGCCGTCCTGGGCTACAAGTGAATATCAGGCCAACCTGGGTTACATGAGACCTTGTCTCAAACAAATGAACATACATTTTGGCAAGGATTGTGGTCCCCTCAGATGGAAAAGAAAAGCTGCTGGAGGCACCCCAAAGTTCTGATATGAGAGAGAAGGGGAAGGGGCCCTAGGAGAAAGAGTGAGGCCATGGAGAGGCAGTCCACTGCCTTGGGAGGGCTGAGGTGGACCCACCGTGGGGTCCTAGAGCCCAAAATGTTCAACTTGTGCATGGGGAAAGTGCATTTGAAACTCTAACCTTGTTTTATTTATTTATTTATTTATTTATTTATTTATTTATTTATTTATTTATTATTTTTGGTCTTTTTGAGACAGGGTTTTCCTGTAGCCCCAGCTGGCCTGGAACTCACTATGTGGACCAGGCTGGCCTCAAACTCACAGAGATCCACTTGCCTCTGCTTCCCAAGTGCTGGGATTAAAGGCTTGCACCAGCACGCCCGGCCCTGACCTTGTTTTATTACTGAGAAAAGATTTCTGGTCTCAGTTTACCCATGATGGGCCTACAGACAATGCCCTTTTAGTCTGGTTGATTTAATTTAGAGATGACCTTATGACCTCATGTAGCTCAGGCAGGCTTGAAACTCACTTTGTAGTCAGGGATGACCTTGAATGCCCTCTCCTCCTGCTTCAGCACTCCTGGGTGCTGGGATGGTGTGTGTGGCACCACACCCAGTTTGTATGATGCTGGGGATAGAACCCAGGGATTTGTGCATGCTAGGAAAATACTCTACCAATTGAGTCACACCCCCAGTCCTTTAATTTCCACTTCTTTATTTTTGATTCTTGGAATTGACCCCAAGGATAAGGCCACATTCTACTACTGAGCTACGTACCCAGCCCCAAGTCAGTTACTGTGTAGCCCAGGCTGGCCTCAGACTCAAGTTAATCCTGTTGCAGCCTCTCATGGGGACTGGCAGGTGTGTGCCACCACCTCCCACTCATGGATTTTTTTTTTTTTTTTTTTTTTGGGCCAGGGCCTTTCTTTAGCCCCAGCTGTCCTGGAACTCACTATGAAGCCCAGGCTGGCCTTGAACTCAGAGAGATCTGCCTGCCTCTGCCTCCTGAATGCTGGGATTAAAGGTGTGCACCACCACACCCAGCATGGATTATTTTTAATGATTAATTTTATTAAAGTAATTGTTACCTCATGTTAGTTGATTATCACATCATAATACTGGTAGACAGCTCTCCCAACACAATACATAATGAGATAATTACTGAGAGCAAATTAGTGCTTACTGGATTCAAGCAGGAACCAACATCAGCTTCTGACTGAAGGTGTGTGAGCTGAGTTCCGAGTTGTTGCTTACCAGGTTGTAATGCAGGGCTGAGAATGTGGCTCAGTGGGTAGAGTGCTAGCCTAGCTTGTGGGGTGCTGAGTCTCACAAGATGGACTCACAGTGTGGACTCCAGTCTCACCCTAGTCATCTGCAAGATGCCACCCAAGCTGGGAGACACACCCTCCCCCACCCAGCCTAGCTTTGCTATAAATAGCCTGGGTTTTCCAGAGGGAGCATGTAACCAGGCTAGAGCTGCCTTCGTGTCTTCTCCCCCAGGCGGTCCTTGGTGTGCAGCTGGTGGTGACCCTGTTCACTGCCACCCTCATGCACCGGCTGGCCCCACACTGCTCCTTCGCGCGGTGGCTGCTTTGCAATGGCAGGTGAGTCCAGCCCTGGCACCGGTGGGGGGAGCCCATGACCAAGCCCCTTGGGGGGCCCCAGGTCCCGTCTTACCAGGTACACTGCTTTTTTTGTTTGTTTTTGGTTTGGTTTTTTGAGACTACCTGTACCTTCAGCTGACTTGGAACTCGCTAGGTAGACCAGGTTGGCCTCCATCTAAGAGCTCCACCTGCCTCTGCCTCCCAAATGCTTGGGGTCAAAGGTGTGGGCTACCACACCCAGCTTGTTTTCTTTAAAAATTTATTTATTTATTACTTTTATGTGTATGTGTGTATTGCCTGCATATATGTAAGTGCATGCACCTGTGTTGTACAGTGCCCGTGGGGGACAGAAGAGGCCCAGAATTTGAGCTATGGACAGTTTTTAGCTGCCATGTGGGTGCTGGGGTTCGAACCCAGGTCTTCTGCAAGAACAGCCAGTATTCTTAACTGCTGAGCCATCCTTCCAGCCCCATTGGCTTTGTTTGTTTGAGACAAGTCTCACACTGTAGTCCAGGCTGACCAGGAATTTGTGGCAATTCTCCTGCCTCTGATTCCCATCCATACACACTCAAAATTTTTTAAAATGGGCTGGAGAAATGGCTCAGTGGTTAAGAGCACTGGCCGCTCTTGCTGAAAACCTGGATTCAGATTCCAGTACCCACATCGTGGCTAACAACTGTCTGTAACTCCATTTCCAGGATATCTAATGCCCTCTTCTGACCTCTGCAGGCATTGCACACCACAGGTGCACTTACATACAATTGCACTCATACACATAATATTTAAAAATAATTTTTAAAAATTATGTGTATTGGGGCTGGAGAGATGGCTCAGCGATTAAGAACACTGGTTGTTCTTGCAGAAGACCTGGGTTTGAATCCCAGCACCCACATGGCAGCTAACAACGGTCTGTAACTCCAGTTCCAGGGGATCTGACAGCCTCTTCTGTCCTCCGTGGGCATTGCACGACACAGGTGCACTTACCTACATGCAGGAATACACACATACACATAAAATAAAAATAATAAATAAACTCTTTTTTTAATTATGTATATTGTATGTGTGGGGGCATTGTGCCTCTGGGAATTTCAGAAGCACTGGATCCCCTGGAGCTGGAGTTACAGGTAGTTGTGAGTCACCTGACATGGGTGCTAGAAACCAAATTTGGTCCTCTGCAGGAACAGACAGTGCTCTTAAACAATCATCTCTCCAGTGCCCTCCTCCACCCAGCCTCTTATAATCCATCTCTCTCCTTTTTCCCTGTTTTGGTGTCTGACCCTGTCTGAGAATATGGTGAAAGTGGTTCTTGGCCCTAGAAAAATGCACAGGCCTGAAGAGAGCTTACCCACCCATTTGGGGTGTCCCGGACGCCTCAGCCTCTTGAGACTAGGTTGGTTCCCCCCACCACATGTCCCCAGAATCCCCCTGGCTGTGGCTACCTCCAGCTACCCTGGACCACTGTCACATAGGGGTCATCCCTTGGCGCAGCTCCAGCATGGCCCATGCCTCATGCTGCCAACCCAAGCTTTCCTAACTGCTGTCCTAACCCACAGTCTGTTCCGGTACAAGCACCCTACTGAGGAGGAACTTCGAGCTCTGGCAGGGAAACCGAGGCCCAGAGGCAGGAAGGATCGGTGAGTGGTCCTTACCCTGTCTCCTTGGAGCCCAGGCCTAGACAGCAGACTCCTGCCCAGGGACAGGCCTCGTTCCCACCTGGGGTTCCAGGCTCTGGGACATGGGCATGTCTCCCCTATTCCCATGCTGCTCTGGGCACAGGTGCATGAATGGGCCACAGTTAGCATCATGTGTTCCTGGCCATTTGCTTCAAGCTGTCCCTATGGCCAAGCTGTCCACACCCCTCAATGTTGCTGACGATCTTTTCCAAGCTGGCTCTATCTGAGTTTTCTCAGAGGCCCAGAGGTCTCCCCCGGCCTCTTCATTGTCCCCATGTCCCCAGGTGGGCCAATGGCCTTAGTGACGGGAAACCATTGTCAGTCCCCCGAGATGCCCCTTTCCAGCTGGAGACCTGTCCCCTCACCGCTCTGGATGCTCTAGGTAAACCCCAGCCCTGGTCCTGATCATCCCCAGCTGCCCAGGGGGGCTTTGGGTCAGGGCTCAGTCTGGGTGGGTGCAGCCAGCCTCTGAGCCAGTGTGCCCTGCAGTCCTGCGCTTCTTCCTGGAGTACCAGTGGTTCGTGGACTTTGCGTTGTACTCGGGAGGTGTGTTCCTTTTCACCGAGGCCTACTACTATGTGCTGGGCCCCACTAAGGAGGTCAACATTGCTGTGTTCTGGTGCCTGCTCACTGTGGTCTTCTCCTTGTATCCTTCCTAGGGGAGTGGGAGGCAGGAGAGTGGGAAAGAGGCCTGAGTTTCTCCGTCCCCCCAACTTGGTGTCTCTATGATCATGCAATCACCCATTGTGCCACAAACCAGCCTCCCAAGTGCTGAGGTGACATGTACATTGCCATGGTCCACACCCAGCTTCGTTTTTTGTATCCCCAAGACAGAAATGGATGTAGGTGGGTAGCCCTGCAGGGGCCCTTTAGGGTGGGCTCATCTTTGACATCCAGAGTGATAGAGGGGGCAGCTTGCTGCAGGCCACCTCATCCTCTTCCCCAAACCTAGCACATTCTTTGCATCAAAGCAAACCAGGAAAGCCTAGAGTCAGGGACTGGCAAAGACTTGTCCCTTTCCACAGAGAGCAGAGACCTAGGTGTGACTCTGGGAGCCCTCAAGGTCTATTCAGTTCCCCCAAGCACATCATTTGGCTAGCAAGTGCTCAGAATATGGGGGACACTTCAAGGTTGAGCCCTGAACTAGGGCTGAATCTTATCAATGTTCCTGACCCAGGCAATGGTTGGGTCACTGTTATCTAAAATCATGTGCAATAGCAAGGTGGAGTGGGGGAGGGGAGCAGAGGGAGGTGGGGATGTTGGGGTGGTGTTGGCACACATCTTTAATCCCAGCACTCAGGAGACAGAGGCAGGTAGATCTCTGTGAGATGGAGGCCAGCCTGGTCTACATAGAGAGTTCCAGGCCAGCTAGGGCTACAGAGAGATCCTGTCTTAAAAAAAACCCCAACAAAATAAAAAAACAAAAACAAAACCCAAAACCATGTGTAGAATGCCTTGTGCATATGAACTTGGGTAAGAAGGTATACTAGGGTGGATGTGGCTAAGTGGTAGCCCCCAGGTTCCATTCCTAGCTCTGTTCCCCAAAGAAAAACATTGCTTTGGTAGTTTGAACACTGAACATTGAAATGCTACCTCCACCTCAGCCCCACCCTCATTAAGCCAAGCCTTCGGTCCCCATGACGATTTCTGATTAGCCACAGGTCACACCAGGCCACCTCCCACTGAACAAGCACCAAATATCCCACACCCCAAACTCAGTCTCCAGGTGCCCCAAAGCCAATTCTTTTTTTCTTTAATATTTTAATTTTATGTGTATGAGTATTGCCTGAATGTATATAAGTGCACCCTGTCATGCAATTCCCATGGACGTCAGAAGAGGGCGTCAGATCCCCTGGAACTGGAGTTATGAATGGTTCTTAGCCACCATGTGGGTGCTGGGAATCGAATCCCAGTCCTTTGCAAGAACAGCCAATACTCTTAACCTCCGAACCATCTCTCTGTCCCTCCAAGGCTAATTCTTATGGGGTTGTTTGTACCCTGGAGTCGGGGGTCCAGGGAGGGCCCCACCTTTGTTCCTGGCCTCCTTAACTCCTCCCCCAGTAAGGTGTTTCTGACTGTGACCCAGCTGTACTTCAGTGCCAAGGAGGGCGGTGAGCGCTCTGTGTGCCTTACCTTCGCTTTTATCTTCCTCCTCCTGGCCATGTTGGTGCAAGTGGTTCGTGAAGAGACCCTGGAGCTGGGCCTGGAGCCAGGTAGCAGTGGGTCCCAGCCCAGGTCCCCCCATGGGTGGAACTCATGTTAGGCACCGAGATGCAGCCCCTACACAATTATTTTTCTGTGTGTGTGTGTGTGGTATATGCACACCTGTGTATGGGGGTGCATGAGCCCATGTTGAGGGCAGAGGAGGGTATCAGGTATCCTGCTCTGCCCCTCTCTCCATATTCAGTTGAGACAGGGTCCTTCGGTGAACCTGGAGCTTGGCTGCGGCCAAGCCAATCTTCCTGTCTCTGCCCCGAACAGGTCGCACACAACCAGCCAGCAAAAGTTCTTACCCAATGAGCCATCGGCCCAGCCCTTTCACGCTGCACAATTTTTTTTTTTTCTTTTGAGACACAGTCTCACCATATAGCCCAGCTGGCCTGGAACTAGTGACCACCCAGCCTCACACTCCATGCGCTGGGTCCACAGGCATGTGCCACCCCCCATAGCTGGCTGTGTCTCTTCATAGGGGTACTTGTATCCACACTAGTCTGTCCCCTGCCCAGCATCCCTAGTGTTTAAAGTGGGGTAGCCTGGCAGGTATGAGGTATGAACGTCCAGTGGGTATAGGTGGGAATCCTCCATCATCTTCCATTTCTCTGGGGGAACCTTCAGTCAGAAAGACATCCCAGAACCTGCTTCTTCTAGACAGACCCCAAACATCCTAGTTCCCACCACTCCCAGTGTGCCACAGTCTAAATACATGTGTCCACTAATTAGGTCAGAGCTGGCAACTGGGGATCCAGCCTTTAGTACAGGAGCCTTTGAAGAGGGGACTCTTCCTATCCAAGCCATGAACTCATGTCGCCTGTATGGTGACCCTTGGTCTGACTTCCTTTGTCAAATCCCACATAGATAGAAGTGCCCATTTCTGAAGACCTTAGGTTCTGAGCTTACTTTTTGTTGGTTTTTGTTTTTGCTGACTGTTTATGATTTCCATGTGCTTGGCAGTACTCTCCATGAACTGATATCATTCTGCTCTTGATTTGTGGAAATCTTGGAGCCTGAATTGAGGGCTCTGTGCATCAGGTAGAGCTCTGGTTTTCTCCTACTGGCACCCTTCAGTCAGTCCACATTCCTGGTGGGATCTAGGAAGGGATCAGTACTCTGTTCCGAGTCACCAGCTCACTTAGGGAGTGTCTGCCTGGTGGGATCTATTTCTTTGCTTCTTTTCAAGTTTATATATATATATA